GCAACCAATGATTAGTTCAGATATAAATGTTTGTACCTTTGATTACAATGCTAATAACCACGTAATGCACCGATTATTTGTTGAAATGTGACTCATCCAACATAAATCCAACCAAGAATTGCACGGCATTTTCTCTCAAAATGGAATGACGTGCATAAAACTTAGCCTAGTAATCCTACAATTTGAACAATTACATATCCTAACCATCAAAGTGTCATAGTTTCTTTAAATACTAATTTGTAGACATTGTTCACACCATTCCACATGTTCAACATCTGACGATGCATATTGGCATATTGGCTTACGGAACGATAATAAACCAACAAGACAATGTCAAAATAAGTTGGCTGAGACAACTACCCACAACCTAAAGGCTAAAACATGGAGAAAGGGAAAAGAAATAAAGCAAAATAGAAAAACAACAATCTCGAAATGGTGCCCACATTCCAATAATGAAGAAAAATTAGTGAACTAGGACAAGTAGGCTTGGTGCTTATATGGGACCCTATGTAGCACCTCATTTATATTCCCTTCATCATCGTTAACCCAAACCCAACTCAAAGGCTCCATTCTTTTTTTCAACTCGACGTCATATTTTTTTGTTTCATTTTCTATTTTACTCATATTATCTCGATTGAATTCTAATACTTTGGGATAGGGTCGGAAGAACTGAGTTGTCCGCAGGCGAAAATCGATGAATAGGAAATGTTGTACGCTCCTCTACATAACGACAAACAACAGACGAATAAAACTCACAGAATTTCGTAAATGGCTCCACAGAGGATCAATGGCTGCTACATTTAGGATAAAAATTTCGTAAAATCACTAGAACGCCATGGGAGCTGTTGCTTGAAGATAGCTAATTCAAAGGGTTGTAACAATTTAATAAAATGCTGCACCTTGAACGACAATTCACCTAACCTTAATCATAGTTTACCCACAATCAGGATAAGAAAAAAGGGAATTCAGTAGCCCTCTTTTTTAAGATAAATTGTCTTAAAAATTACAGAGTTTCCATAAGTACACGAACTGCACGTCTACTTGAAGTCTAAAATGTCGAGCTTGTGCCGGCGCATTTTAGCGAAAAGCGTAATCAATTCTCTCAAATATAGGAACACACTGCAAATAGAGACATTTGACATTCCCCAGTTTGGCAGCAAACAAATATAGAAATTCACAAAACATAAATTAAGAATGCAGCTTGTGGAGCGAATGAAATCAACCAAGAATAGTGCAACTGAACTAAAGAAGGTGTCGAATTAAGTTAAATATGTTCTCCGCAACAAGCTGAGGTGAGAGAGAGCGAGTAGGCTGACCTGCACACCGGGCGAAGTGAAACCTAGAATACGGATCTTCGCCCCGACATCGCCCACGACCCGGAGCTCAACTCGGTCGTTAAGCGAGGCGTCCCTCAGCAAATCGGCGGCGTCCGCTTGGAGCAGGCTGACCCGGTCCACGACGATGGTGGTCTCAACCTGCCTCACGCTGTGGGCGGGCTGGTAGAACCCGGGTACCTCGCCCCTGCCCAGCGGTATCCCGCGGTACATGACCGTGAATCTGGACTCGCCGTACTTAATCCCCACCTTATTGTCGTTGGCGGCGGTGAAGAGCATCCGGATGTTGAGCGACACGGCGGCGGACGAGGCGGTGGTGGGGCTGATACCGACGTACTGGACGCCGACCTGCTGCAGATCGAACTCCGGCTTCTTCGGCTTCACGGCGAGGACGATGACGAGGATGACGGCAAGGACGAGGAGGGCGAGGAAGGAGAAGAGGAGGAAAAGGCAGCAGCAGCAGCCGCGCAGGGAGGCGGAGGAGGAGGAAGAAGAGGGTGGCGGCGGCGGGTAGTAGTGGTGGTGGTGGTGGCCGTTCGCGGCGGAGGTTGGGGGAGGGGCTGCGGCGGCGGCGATTGGCCGGGAGGTCATTTTGGAGATGGGATTTGGGGTTTTTTGTATGGCCCTTTTTCTTATGGAATGGGGAAGAAAAGAGAAAAGGTTTTAGATGTCCCCACCACCACCACCACCACCACCACTCACGGCGATGGCCACCTCCTTTTTGCAGCTGCTTTTTTTTTTTTTTTTTTTTT